TAAACTCTAATGGGATAATGCATTGGATACGTTATTACGATAGAGTTCTAACGCTCTATTAATGGTTTTAGGAAGTGGTGGAGACAACAAAAAGTTATGGGTGATTTAAGACATATTTGGGGAGTCATGTCACCACATAACTTCCCATAACTCTATGTTATCTCCACTACTAGCTAAAAGTAATAGTTCATTAGAACCCACACTTGGTCCGTGGGGCTTCCGTCTTCCTCAATTCAACTTGGTCCGTACTCCGGTGAGGGTACCTGCAACGCCGGGAGGGTTTCCCGGCGGGAGAGCTCCGACGATCAAGTCAGTGATCGGAATAGAGGAAAATGTGTATGCAATGTAACAGTAATTAATGTATATTCTTGTGTGTGTGTGTGTTTGATGATCCTTCTATTTATAGATGAGGAAATCTTGGCCTCCAAGGTTTCCTTTTTAGGGTTTGCTCCCCTCTCAAGTCAAATGTTTGGGCCTTTCTTATTGGGCCTACTTTAGGTCGGGTTTATACTGGAATACGAGTCATGGTATTGCCGGCTCGTTGTTCGGAGGTCGCCGTCCGACGTCGGGCCTTATAATAACTTGTCTTCTCACAATTTGCATTTTGCTCATCTCGTCATAATGGCCCGTATCAACTACTCCCCCTACTCCTTATTTATAAGACGAGTTGGTTTTTCCTTATCTCGTTTTATAAGTACGGAGTACGAGGTGTAGGTTTGGACCTTGGTTCATATCTGTCCGATGTACGCGATCTTTTCACTTTTTCCTCCATTTAATGATTCTGACATCCCGTGTGGTCGATTCGAGTTCCCTAAGTCATCATGGGGAAATTTCATATCAGTGCTTTATGCGCCGGATTCGAGACGTCCTGTATTAAATTCCATCCGCCCGAATAGACGGTTATGATTGATTTCCCCTCTTCCCTAGGTCATTACTGAGGGATTCCAATCGACACCTCTTGCGCCGGATTCGAGGCGATCTACTTTGAATCTCGCCCGTCCGATTAGACGGTCACGATCGAATTTTCCTCCTTCCTTTCTCCTATAAGTATCTGACTTCTACGAATTTTCAAAATTTTTTCCTCTTCTTCACTTCTGTGCTCTCCTTGTCTTTGTTTACCTCCGGCGACTTTGCTTTTCCGAGAATCGAGTTCTTTCCATCCCGTGCTTGTTTTCTTCTTCGACAAAGGTACTCCATTTCTACCCTGCTTTTTACTGTCCTTAACCTATGTCTTCCAATTCTCCCGACCCTTTTGGTCAGAAAATGCCTTCCAGAGAGGGAGATGAATATCCTACCCTCACCCTCTCTTCTTCTTCGGAGGAAGGGCCCTTCTTTTCCCCTTCGGGTAAATTACTGAAAAAATCTAAGAAAAGGGGGAGAGACGACGTTCTGTCTTCCGCGAGGAGTGGCTCTCCTTCATTGTCTGGGGGGCGAGATCAAGACGATCAATGGGGGCCCAGTACTTTAAGCGAGATAGACCTAGCTAACTTAGTTCGCGATATAGGTCTTCCTACCGACATCGAACTGATCTTACCTTCTCGAGATCAGCGCCCCCTAAACCCCCCTCCAGGTTTTAGCACTTGGTTTTCTGAGCAGTTCTATTTCGGCCTTTCTTTCCCCATCTCGCCATGGTTCTCCGAGATTGCTCAAATATGCAACATATCCCTTAATCAGTTTCACCCTCACGCCATAATCATTATGACCGGGTTTCGCATGCTCTGCGCTTGGTCGGGTGTAATCCCTACTCCGGCCCGGTTTCGAAGTATTATGGTATTAAAAAATTCCAGCCCCTACCATGTTTCCATCTCGGCTCGTCCGGGCTTCAAGATATTGATGCCACCCAATAAAACCGACGGGTGGCAAGGCCATTATTTTTTCGCGAGGGACCCCACTGACACTCCTTATTTGTGTCCTTGGTTCGTCACCTTGCCCGAGAAAAGGAGGGGGAAACCTCTAGCGGTCGATGAGTGGCTTCTGAAAATGATTGTTCACTTTCAACCAAGTTATGGTATGCCCGAGAATCTCACAAGTTTTCCGCCGATACTTCGTCATTTTTACTTCCATGACAACGGCACTTATCTCCTAACTCAAGAGGATTTAGGTGGGTTTAAATACGATATCAATTTTCTGTATTGGTTTGGCTTTCATTTCGGGCTGTTGTTCTTCGTTTGACTATATTTTATGTTTGTTGATGCACTGCCTACTTGCTCACCACATTTTTCTTAATCCCACGAACAGACTTAAGGATGAAGAGGATGTTCCGAGGTGACAAGCCGGCAACTCTCCCATCTGAATCGGAGCCGGAATTCCAGGCGTCCGAGTTTCAGCGCCCTACAGCCGCTGAATCCGAGAAACGGTCCTCAGAAGAGGGGGCTCTAAGGCAGAGACCCTCTAAGAAGAATGTTGGGGCTTCGCGTCCCCGAAGTGGCCCACGTGCTGAGTATCCCGAGCTTCCTCGTCTGTCCTCGGCCATAGTTCCAGTTTCTTCTCCGCCACCCTCCTCAGCCGAAGAAGTGGTAGAAAAAGAGCCCACCTCGAAGAGAAGAAAGGCTGATCTGGCCCTTGGGTTGGTCGGGTCCACTCCTGGGCAGACCGGGTCAGCTTTGGGGCAAGTTGGGTCATCTCTGCCCCCTAACTTTGCACTTCATCTCTGCCAGAACGCAGAGAACGCCATTGCTGCTTGCCGAGCTATGGCGCTTCCTCGAGACGTTGCTCACTTCGGGCAAATGAGCAAGGGTGATCGGCTCGAGTTGCTTCTACATAACATAACGCAGGTTTATTTTATCTCGCACACATGAGTTAGTTTTTACGTCTCTTAGTCACAATTGGTTTTACTTAAGTCTCTTGTATGTGTAGCAATTTGCTATCGCCTTTTCGGGCCCTTTGGGGTGGGATGACGTCTCTCGTGAGGCGTATGATAATCAAAAGAAGGAGGTCAGCCAGCTCCGAAAAGAGGTCCGAGGTCTAAAGGAGAGTCTGGCGGTGTCCGAGTCGGCGAATGAGGGGTTGTTCGCCGAGGTGAGGAGGCTGCAAGAGAGGGAGAAGATTTTACAAGCAGAGAAGGACTCCTTAGCATCTCATAATGCGAGCTTGGAGGAAAAAGCTAAAGGGCTTTCTAACGAGCTATTTGCGGCCGGGGTGCAGGCATCTTCTAACTTCACCGAGGGAGTGAAGGAAGGACACAGGCTGTTCCCGGGTTCCTCCGAGGGTCTGCGTTTTATGGAGGCGTTCGTCAGTCGTTTTTTCGATCGGCTATGGCGTTCGACGACGTTCACTCGACAAGCATCTGGCTTAGCTCGCTTCTTTTTCTCTGAAGCGGTGAAGGCTGTCCGGAAACGATTAAGTGGTGCTGGTATTGAGTTCCCCTTGGCTGAAATGAGCTTGCCGAGGACTTGCCCGATGACGTGATCCCGGGTTTTGAAGGGGACGTGAACGAGGACCCCGACCTGGAGTGGTGGAGGCAGGTGCATCGAGAGTTAGTTGAAGACTTCTCTCGCCAAGGAAGCTCCTCGGTGATCATCACCGATCTTGTTGGAGATGTCGAGACAATTGATGCAATGGCGAATCTCAACAAGACACCGCCCAACCTTACCTCATCTCCTCTTCCACCCGCCGGGGATCAAAGCGAAACCGGGGTGGTGCCGTCCGAAAATGCTTAGCCAGTTTCTCTTTGTTTTCGCCCGTTTTTGTATCTTATTTCTTGTACCATGTACTTGTATTTTTCCTTTATATATTCCGAACAACTTATTTCGTTTTTTGCGTTTCAATGTATCAAAAAGTTTATTTGTTTCAATTTTGTTTTTCATGTGTGCCGGGGCTGCTTTTACTTTAGTGCAGTATATTCAGGAATGGTTAGTGAATTTTAGCAAAGTACTTTCAGAACTTGAGTTAAATCTTTTTAGGACCCGTGTGGGTGGTCGTCCTTTGATCTCATCAATTTAGGACTTAACCTGATCTCGGCAAGCTTTTTTCATAGTTTACTTGTGTTTGAACTTAGCCTTTGGCTATTGTTTCCTTTGGCAAAACATGCGATTTAAACGCCTCAACGAAACACGCGATGTAACGCCTTGATGAAACGCGCGATTTAACGCCTCGGTAAAACACGCGATTTAACGCCTCAGTGGAACACGCGATTTAACGCCTCGGTGAAACACGCGATTTAGCGCCTCGGTAAAACACGCGATTTAACGCCTCGTTAAAACACACGATTTAACGCCTCGGTGAAACACGCGATTTAACGCCTCGGTGAAACACGCGATTTAACGCCTCGGTAAAACACGCGATTTAACGCCTCAGTGGAACACGCGATTTAACGCCTCGGTGAAACACGCGATTTAACGCCTCGGTAAAACACGCGATTTAACGCCTCGGTGAAACACGCGATTTAACGCCTCGGTAAAACACGCGATTTAACGCCTCGGTAAAACACGCGATTTAACGCCTCGGTGAAACATGCGATTTAACGCCTCGGTAAAACACGCGATTTAACGCCTCGGTAAAACACGCGATTTAACGCCTCGGTGAAACACGCGATTTAACGCCTCGGTAAAACACGCGATTTAACGCCTCGGTAAAACACGCGATTTAACGCCTCAGTTTGTAATTTAAATAGATAACACAATGATATTTCTAACGTGGAAACCCTCCAAATAAGGAGAGAAAAAACCACGGGGCGTAGCCCAGCTCGAAAAATGGACGTTTATTGATGTTTTTCTTTTACAAGATGTGTTGCTTCTCTGCTTCTCTCTCTCTCTTTTTTTTTTTTTTTTTTTTTTTTTTTTTTTTTTTTTCTTTTTTTTTTACGCGAGGAAGCGTTTCAAATGGATGACATTCCATGCCCGTGGCAATGGTTTTCCTTCTACATCTGCCAGCTCGTATCCTCCACCAGCCAAGCACTTTGTGACCACGTATGGCCCTTCCCAATTAGCTTCCAGTTTTCCTGTGTGTTTTAGGGCATCAGCTCGTCGTAGAACGAGATCACCAATCTAGAATGAGCGAGATCAGACCCCTTGGTCATATCGGGCCTTGATCAAATTCTTGCTTCGTTCCATGTGTAAATAGGCTGCTTCTCGCAAGTCAAAAATCTCGTCCAGCCGGGTTCTCAATGCACCGTCATTTGCTTCTTCATCGAACGTGGCTATGCGGAGTGTATCCATTGCCACTTCTACTGGAATAACTGCTTCGGTTCCGTAGATTAACCGAAATGGTGTTTCACCGGTAGCTGCTTTGGCCGAGGTTCGGTAAGACCAAAGGACCGAAGGTAACTCATCTACCCAGCTGCCTCCTAGTTCGTCTATCCTCTTTTTTAAGCCGTTGACAATGGTTCGATTTGTAGATTCGACCTGGCCATTGGCTTGAGGGTGTGCTACTGCCACAAACTTCTGTGTGATTTTCATCTCTTCACACCACGCGCGAATCTTTTTGCCATTGAATTGAGTGCCATTATCCGAGACGAGACTTCGGGGTAGGCCAAACCGGCAACAAATATATTTCCAAATGAAATGCATGACCTCGTCCTCTGTTATTTTTGACAAGGCCTCAGCTTCAACCCACTTGGTGAAATAATCCACCGCGACGATAAGGAATTTCTTCCTGCCAGTGGTTTGAGGAAAAGGTCCCACTAGATCAATTCCCCATTGGGCAAAGGGGCAGGGGGCGCTCATGATGGTCATTTCTTCTCCTGGTTTATGGATAAGTGGGGCAAACTTCTAACATTGTATGCAACGTTGCACATATTGATGGGTGTCCCTCTTCATGCAGGGCCAATAGTATCCAGCCCGATGTAATTTCTGTATGAGGGCCCGAGCTCCTCCATGTTCTCCACAACCTCCTCGGTGTACTTCGTCCAGGACATGTTTCACCTCTTGTTTTCCTAAGCATCTCGCATCCACCGTGGTGAAGTTTCTTTTATATAATATCCCATGTCGCACGTAGAAGTGTCTGGCTTTATATGCTAAGCGATGTTGCTCTCTAGTTGTACCGGTTCGTTCCCCTCTGAAATACGCGAACAAAGGTGTTCGCCAATCGGGTTCCTCATCGATCATCATGATTCCGGGTGTCGGCGTAGGAGCAATGAGAATGGAGATCTTCCTTTCAACGCAGTCGACGACCGACGACCCAATTTTAGCGAGGAAGTCAGCTCGCTGGTTGTCGTTTCTCGGAATCTGATGCACGGTGCAAGCTTCGAAAGTTTCTTGTATTGCTTGGGCTTTGTTTACATATCCCTTCATTCTATCGTTCTTCACTTCGTAATCCCCTTCTAACTGGTGTATAACCAATTGAGAGTCGGAGTTTATTCGCACCACCCGTGCACCGAGTTCTTGGGCGATTTCCATACCCCGGATGAAGGCTTCATACTCCGCCTCGTTATTGGAGACTCGTGGTAATTTAACCGCAAATTCCACCTCGATTCCCGTGGGATCGATGACTATGATTCCTGCCCCTGCTCCTGTCGCTGTGGATGACCCATCCACGTAGACTCTCCACTCTTTCTCCATAGGTATCCTAGTGGTTTCTCGGATGAAATCCGCCAACGCTTGTCCCTTAACCGAGGTACGAGGTTGATATTGGATTTCATATTGTCCTAGCTCGACTGCCCATTTAACAATTCGCCCTGATGCCGTAGGCTGGCCTAGGGTTTGGCGGAGTGGTAAGCTCGTACGGATTACCATTGTGTGTGATAAGAAGTAAGGCCAGATTCGCCGCGTAGTGAGGACCAGGGCGTATGCTATTTTCTCAACTTCTGAATACCTAATTTCCGAGTTAGTGAGGATCTTGCTGATGTAATAAATCGGTCGTTGTTGACCACTTACTTCCTTGAACAAGACCGAACTAATCGATTCGTCTCCCACCGATAAATATACGAATAGGGTTTCGCCTTTTTCAGGGGTGCTAAGGATGGGCAGGCGAGTTAGCGAAACTTTTAGCGCCTCGAACGCGAGTTGGCATTCTTCGGTCCATTCGAACTGTGCCGCTTTTCTCAAGACTTTGAAGAAAGGCAGACTTTTATCAGCCATTCGCGATATGAATCGAGCCAAAGCCACAACTTTACCTGCTAAGGATTGAACCTCTTTGATGGACCGAGGAGGGGTCATACGGAGTACCGCCTCGACTTTATCTTGGTTTACCTTGATACCTTCTCTATTAACTACATACCCGAGGAATTTCCCAGCCCTCACTGCGAATGCACACTTTGCTGGGTTAAACTTCATCCCATAAAGGCGAAGAGTGGCAAATGTCTCAGCCAAGTCAGCAAGGTGTGTGGAACACTTCTTGCTTTTGACCAGCATGTCATCGACGTAAACTTCGATATTGTGTCCGAGCTGAGCCCGAAACATCCTATCCATTAGTCTTTGATACGTAGCTCCCGCATTTTTCAGGCCAAAAGGCATCACCACATAACAATAAGTGCCCGTGGCGGTGATAAAGCTCACTGCAGGTTGGTCCCTTTCGTCCAACGGGATCTGGTGGTATCCTTGCGAAGCGTCCATCATGCTGAGTAGCTCGCATCCGGCGGTAGCGTCTACGAGCTGGTCTATGCGGGGTAAGGGATAGTCATCCTTCGGGCAGGCCTTGTTTAAGTCTCGAAAATCGATGCACATCCGCCACTGTCCATTAGTCTTTTGCACCAACACCGCATTGGACAACCATGTAGGGAATTGAATTTCCCTAATATGCCCAATATCGAGAAGTCGTTGGACTTCTTGTTTGATAATTTCGTCCTTTTCGATGCCGAAGTGTCGTCGCTTTTGTTTGATAGGTTTGCACTCGGGTCGCAAATTGAGCCTGTGTACAGCGGTGCGGGGTGCGATACCAGTCAGGTCGCTGGGCTGCCATGCGAAGATGTCTACATTAGATCGCAATAATGCTATCAACTCATCTCGAAAGGGTGATTCCAGGTCTTTGCTTATCTGGGTCTGCTTCGACGTGCCAGGGCCAAGGTTAATTGTCATCAACTCGTCCATGGGTTGTACATGAGCGACTTTATCTTCCGGATCAATTCGAGGGCGCTTCTCGTCTCCCAGATTTTCTTTAGTGAAGATCTCACGTCGTCCATTTTCCGCCACTTTGACCATTTCTACGTAACAAGATCGTGACTGAGCTTGATCACCACGGACTTCTCCTATTACTCCGTCAACTGGAAATTTGAGCTTTTGGTGAATAGTCGAGGGGATCGCCCGGAAGATGTGCATCATTGGCCGCCCTATCACGATGTTGTACGAGGTGGTGGACCCCTCGACGATGACAAAGTTGACAGTTTGTGTACGTGCTCGGGGTGGTGTTCCCATGGTGACGGGGATCTTGACATGTCCGATCGGAGTCAAGGATCCTCCTGTGAACCCAAATATCGGGGTGGTAACAGGGAAGATTGGGAGATCAAGTTCCATTTGTAGGAAGCACTCGTAAGATATGACATCAACCGAACTCCCCTAGTCAACAAAGGCACGGGCTACATCGTATCCTCCGACGTTGATCGTGATAAGGAGGGGTCGCAATGAAAATCATCGAGATCTGCTTCATCCTCGGGTCCGAACGAGATGGTGGGATACTGACGGCGCTTCGGTGCAGAGATTTGGCAGATTTCATGGTTATTCCTGAGGTTACGAAGATGACGCCGCCTAGCTCGATGAGTGTCTCCTCCCGTAGGTCCTCCCGATATCATCTGGATGTATCCTCGTTTGGGTATCGGTGGTGGAGGCGGTGTTAGAGTAGGTGACCAACAAGCCAACATGTGGCTGTGGTCCTTCGTATTTATTATTGTAATAAACGAACCTTTATTCGTATTAATGATAAAATACCTTGGCATTCTATATCTTTGTCCCTTTGTCACAAGCATAGATATAGTCCTTACAGTTATTACAAGTACTAGTAATTGATCGTTAGGATCGTGAGATATTTACTTAAGTATTATAACTGTTAAACGCGTTCCTAGTCGAAGGGTTACGCCACTAATGAGGATATCGGCCTTTCCCATGAAGACTAGCACTTAGTGTATGTGTACTGCATCTCATCAGTATACGGTATTGTGATATCGGCATGCATAAGTGGGTGCTTGTAAGTTGACGAGTTCACTGAACTCCCTCACCCTAGAAATCTCTAAGTGGTTCCCAATAATCGAGTAGAGATATCTATGGTATAGTTGTACACCATTAGTCCTTATGACCTAGACATCACCGTGACTTCACTAGAGGACCAGCTGTATCGTGACCTGTCCCTGAGTTCCACCGAGGACCATCCCAAGGGCCAGTGTTCGTGCAGTCCGAAATCTAGTGGGAGGTCTGTGCATTGTAGTCGGGGATTCGATCGCTAGAATAGTCTTGGATGTCCTGTGTGTTCTGAAAGTTTGTAATCATTCCAAGTCTCTGGCCAGAGCTGACTAAGTGATGATTAGAGAATTCGATTCTCTAAGTCATGCACGTAAGGATTACAACACTTAGAACGATCGCACCGTCATCGAACAGATAAAGAGGTCTCGATGAACCAATGCCTCTAGTTCGATCGGGACATATGTATCGAAGGGACCGTACTGTACGTTAACTATATCTGAAGGTTCTTGCAGGCACTTCATTTGTATCTAGGGAATCATGACGCGTAGTTGCTAGACGCCTATCTTGATTCGTTGGGTGATTAAGGTGAAACGAGCTTCATCTTAATCGTAACTCGAAGGGGACGAGTTTTGACCACAAAGAGTTGTGGGCCCACGGCTAGCTTACACCTGAACCATCGAGGGTCACACTGCTCGTGCACATGAGATCTTTGAATAAACGGTCAGAGATAAAATAGTTTATCTTTGCATGATTGGAAGTCAATATGATTGAGTCCAACATTCGTAATTTGGAATTATGAATGAGAATAAGAAGAGGAAAAGAATAGGCGAACATATTAGTGAACTTTCTAAATCGGGAAGTTTCCAAATTTAGAAAGTGCACTGAACTAGGGTTTCCACTTTTGGAAAGTTGGAAAATGAGAGATGGCACTCGTAATGACGAGGAAGTTATAATGAATCCGAAAATGTAATCGTTGCAATTTTTCGGTCATTGAATTAAGAGAGACGAGCAAGTAAAGATACTAACGGACTTAAGCTGTTGGGCCCGGTCCAACTTAAGCCCGCTAGGGTTTTATGCAAGACATATAAATACTTGATTTATAGGTCTTGCACAACACACAACACAACCCTAACCCTAGCCGCTCGTACCCTCTCTCTCTCGGCCCTCTCTCCTCGGCCAGCGCGCCGCCGTCGCCGGAGCTTCACCGGAATCGGCCATTCATTGGTCGATTGTTTCGGTATTGTTTTTCCTTCTCTTTTTCTTCCGTTTTTCTAACTATTACGTGTCTAATGCCACGTGTTTAGTAGATCGAAGTATACGAGGTGAAATCCGAGAGGAGGAAGACTGTAGATCGAAGAATCGAGGAGCAACGCACGAGCCGAAGCTGCACGCTGCCCCACGCGCCGCCCCGGAAGACCGCGCGTGTACCTCACGCGCCGCCGTGGGCTGATCTGCTGCTGCTGCCGCTGCACCGCTGCTGCCCCGATTGTACGGATTGGTTTCCGTAGCAATCTCGACTTGCTAAACGCTCCTACCTCACGCTTCAAGAGGTAAATACACGAAACCCTAGTTTCGATTAGTTTATGTTTAAACTATGATTTCATGTTTGCTATCGTATGATTTTATGTGATTATGTGTAATCGTTTTAATCTTTGCAAGCATGTTAATTGGTTTAAACGCGAGCATGTTAATTGATTTAAATTCGGTTAAATTATTTAGCATGTATGTTGTTTTTAATTTCGCTGGAAGCGCAAAGGTACGCAATTAATTGATTTAATTTGTCGGGCATGTACTTGTGTGCTTTAAAGTCGTTTAAATCACATTAAATTTTTGTTTTCCGCTGCGTATGCGTGCCCGAAACCCAACAGTGGTATCAGAGCTCGTTGCGCAATTAATTGCGTTCGTTTTAATATGCTATGATTTTATGCATGTTCGATTTATTAAAGTAGTGATTGTTGTATTATGTAATTGGGAGTTTTCGTAAGTTTAAAATATTTTTGAAATATTGTTTAGAATTTTTCCAGCTTTAAAATTGTTTAAAATTGGAAAATCGGATCTGAAATTGTTTTTAAAACGTCGATTTTTGCTGTTCGGATCGAACCGGTCGAACCGGCCGGTTCGATGGTTGTGTGCGATCTAGTTGACCGAATCCATGTGGATTCGGGTCGGTCAGACCGGTTCCCGGTCCGACTGACCCGGCCCACTGATTTGGGTCAGCTGGACTGGACAGAACCGGACCGCTTCGGTCCGAACCGGTCAGACCGGTTGGGCCGAACCGGTTCACTGAAAATAAAAAAATAAAAAAAAAAAAAAAAAAATTTATTTCAGATTTCTAAAATTAAACTTAAAACAAATTGATTTTAATTTTTGGAAAATTATTTTCAATTAATCCCAAATAGATAATTGGATCAACAATCATCTATTTTAGTAAATAGGTGTTAGATTAATTAATTGATTTAAATTGTTAAATTGATTTCAATTAATAGAACACACGTATAATATTGATTATACTTCAACTTAATTAATAGTACCTCAATATTATTTGATTGATTTATGTTGGTTGAGGTTCTATAATTATTTTGAAAAACCCGATAATTCATTAATGTAATTAATAATATAGTTAGGTCGTATGTTCCTCTTAGGACAATATGCGTTTCCATATACCTTTAGAGAACATAGATGTAGGAATCACATAGACCAATCCGAACCTTCTGATGAGATAAAACTTTTTAATAAAACCCCTCATTCTTAATTTAATTGAGAATCATTTCAAGCTATAAAGAATGACCCAATCTGTTGAGTTATTTCTTTCCTTCTGCCAACAATTGGATTATGTGTAGCCCTTTACTGTAGTGCAGTAAGCCGTGTTAGCGGGGAGTGCTATGGTAGAGTAAGCTGTAATTCAATTGACATAATGATGAAGGTAGCCATAGAAAAGGGTTATGTTGGATTAACGTGGTCGGCTAGATTAACTAGGGACTGCATTAGTTTGGCATAATCAAGTTCTATGAGCATCTTTGATTGGTAGGTTAGACTTGACACACGACGATTTTGATATTCGCGAGATTAACTTAGGTCATTATCAAGTGTGAGGAAAATTTATTTAGGGTCATATTGTGGATATGATTGATTGTGATCTACCTTTGGGCAAATATAATCGGGCTAGATTAACTACGGGTTATATTTGTCTATTGGACCTAAAGCCCATTAAGAAAAATCAGTTTTCTCGTTTGTCTACTAGAGGGAAGTGGAACTCGATAAAATTAGTGGGAGAACAATTAAATAACATAAGTCCAAACATTTAATTGTAACAATCATTTAACGCGAATCTCTAATAATCCTCTTCTCTATATGTCTCAGATAATCATGTCTAAGAATCCCATAATGTCAATCCTCGACAATAAACTCAATGGCCCTAATTACCTAGATTGGTTGCGTAGTCTTAAGCTTGTGCTAACTGTTGAGGGGCGTCTCTATGTTTTGAACGAGAGGCTTCCCGCCACTATACCTGCCACAACGACTGATGCTGAAAAGGAAACTTATGAAGTTTGGAAGAAAGATGACACTCATGCTAGGTGCTATATGATAGCCGCCATGGAGCCCGCGCTTGCGAGGAAATATGAGTCTCACATGCATGCTTTCGATATAAAGGCTCATCTCGATAGCATGTATAGTGAGAATATTAGGGCATCGAGGTACGCTGCTACAAAGGAGTTGATCACAGCGAGACTGCGCGAAGGGACTTCGGTCCACGAGCACTGTCTCAAAATGATCACTCTCCTTGAAAAGCTAGTGAATCTTGATGTCACCCTCCCGGCCGAGCTCTCGTTGGATTTGATCCTGTTGTCTCTTCCTAGTTCCTATGAATCGTTCATAGTGAACTTCAACATGAACAAACTAGATCCTCCCTTGGATGCGTTAATGAACATGTTGGTCAGCTTCGAGTCCACCATTAAGAAAGAGAAGTCTGTTCTCATTGCTGCTACTTCTGGAAAGAAGAGTTCTTTCCAAAAGAAGAGAAAGGAAAGAGTTCCCTTCCCAAACAGCAAGTTCGAAGTGGGTGAAGGTAGTGGGGGCCCCAAAGCAAAGGTTGGTAAGCAAGTTGATGATGCTTGCCATCATTGTGGAAAGAAAGGACATTGGCGCCGCAACTGCAAGGCTTACCTAAAGCAGAAAGGTTCTGAAAAGGGTACGTATTTCATTGACGTAAATTTGTCTGTCAACTCTTCTTCTTGGGTATTGGATACGGGCTGTGGCTCACATTTGTGCAATGATTTGCAGCTAATGACAAGAAGTCGAAGACTTAGAGCGGGTGAGACCTACCTAAGGATGGGGAATGG